CATTCCTCTCTCTCTTCAACTAAATTCCAGATTTCAGCTCAGTGTATTATCTGTGGATGTCTGTCTCTGCTTCCTTCAGCTACTGGGTGAGGGCTCTAGGATGGCATAAAGAGAAGTCATCAATCTCATTTTAGGGGACGGGCTTTTGGGTTATCCTTTCCACCATTGCCTGGATTATTTCTGCCCCTCCATTTCCTCTCCTCTACTCCTCTTCTCCTGCTCTTATTGTAGCAGCTCCCTCCCCCCTACCCTCATGCTCCCAATTAGTTCAGGAGTTCATGCCACTTCCATTCCTGGGGACCATTTATCCCTTAGAGTCCTTCATGTTTCCTAGTTTCTTTGGTGAAGAGGATTATAGGCTGGTGATTCTTTGCTCTCTGTCTTAAATTCATATATGAGTGAGTACATACTATGTTTGTCTTTTTGTGACTGGGTTACCTCACTCAGGATGGTTTCTTCTAGTTCCATCCATTTGCCTGCGAATTTCAAGATTCCATTGCTTTTTTTCTGCTGAGTAGTACTCCATTGTATAAATGTTTCTTTCTTTAAAGACTTAAAGTTCTTGTCATACAGGTGTTTACCTTGTTTGGTTATAACTATCCCCAAAATATTTTATGTTATTTGTGGCTATTGTGAAGGGTGATGCTTCTCTGGTTTATTTCTCAGCCCATTTTTCATCTGTTTATAGGAGGGCTACTGATTTTTTGAGTTAATCTTGTATCTTGTTACATTACTGAAGGTGTTTATCAGTTGTAGGAGTTCTCTGGTAGAATTTTTTGGGTCACTTATGTAAACTATCATAACATCTGCAAGTAGTGAAATTTTGACTTCTTCCTTTCCAATTTGTATCCACTTGATTTCCTTTTGTTGTTTTATATAACTTCGAGTACCATGTTGAATAGATATGGAGAGAGTAGACACCCTTGTCTTGTTCCTGATTTCGTGGGATTGCTTTGAGTTTCTTTCCATTTAGTTTGATATTGGATGGTGGGTTATTGTATATTGCCTTTATTATGTTTAGGTATAGTCCTTGTATCCCAAGACATTTATCATGAAGGGGTGTTGGATTTTGTCAAAGGCCTTGTCAGCATCTAATAAGATGACCATGTGTTTTTTTCTTTCAGTTTGTTTATATGGTGGATTACATGGACGGATTTTCCTATGTTGAACCATCCCTGCATCGCTGAGATGAATCCTATTTGATCATGGTGGATGATTATTCTGGTGTGTTTCTTAGATTCAGTTTGCCAGTATTGAGTATTTTTGCATCTATGTTCATGAGGGAGATTGGTAAGTAGTTCCCTATCTTAGCTGTGTCTTTGTATGGTTTGGATATCAGGGTAACTGTAGCTTTGTAAAAAGTGTTTGTCAATGTACCTTCTGTTTCTATTGTGTGGAATTATTTGAGGAGTATTAGTATTAGTTCTTCTTTGAACATCTTGTAGATTCTGCACCAAAACCATCTGGATCTGGGCCTAGGCTTTTTGGGGGTTATAGGTCCATTTAAGATTTTTATCTGTTCTTTATTTAATTTTGGTATGTGGTACTTATCTAGAAAATTGTCCATCTCTTTAAAGTTTTCCAATTTTGTGGAGTACAGGATTTTGAAGTATGACCTGATGATTCTCTGGAGTTCCTCAGTGCCTGTTTTTATGTCCCCTTTTTTGTTTCTGATTTTGTTAATTTGGATATTCTTTCCCTGTCTTTCAGTTAGTTTGGATAAAGGTTTGTCTATTTTGTTGATTTATTCAAAGAACCACTCTTTGTCTCATTGATTCTTTGTATTGTTTTCTCTGTTTCTATTTTATTGATTTAGCCCTCAATTTGACTATTTCTTGCCATCTATTCTGGGGTGAGTTTGCTTCTTTTCGTTCTAGCACTTTCAGTTGTTCTGTTAATTCACTAGTATGGGATTTTTCCAGCTGCTTTATATGTAGGCATTTAGTGCTATGAACTTTCCTCTTTAGCACTGCTTTCATTGTGTTCCACAAGTTTGGGTATGTTTTGAGGTCATTTTCATTAAATTTTAGGAAATCTTAATTTCTTTCTTATTTCTTCCTTGACCCAATGGTGGTTCAGTTGATCATTGTTCAATTTCCAAGTGTTTGTGGGTCTTCTGAAATTAATCTTGCTGTTTAATTCTAACTTTAAGCTGTGGTGATCCAATAGGATACAAAGGGTTATTCCTATTTTTTTATATCTGTTGAGGTTTGCTTTGTTACCAAGTATGTGGTCTATTTTTGAGAAGGTTCCATGTGGTGCTGAGAAGAAAGTATATTCTTTTGTGTTTGGAAAGAATGTTCTATAGATGACTGTTAAGTCCATTTGACTCTTAACATCTGTTAGTTCCCTTATGTCTCTGTTAAACTTCTGTCTGGCAGACCTGTCTAGTAGTGAGAGTGAGGTGTTGAAGTCTCTCACTATTAGTGTGTGGCTTAATTTGTAATTTAAACTTTAGTAATGTTTCTTTTATAAATGCAGGAGTCCTTCTGTTTGGGGCATAGATATTCAGAATTGAGATTTCCTCTTGATGGATTTTTCATGTACTGAATATGAAATGCCCTTCTTTATCTTTTTTGATTGATTTTAGTTTGAAGTCTATTTTGTTAGATGCACCAGCTTGTTTCTTAGGTACTTTTGATTGGAGAATCTTTTCCCAACCCTTTATTCTGAGGTAATGTCTGTCTGTGAGGTTGAGGTGTGTTTTTTTTTAACATTTTTTTAAATTTAGAAACAATCTTATTTTAAATATCAACCCCCCATTCCCTCCCCCTCCCACTCACCCTTCACCCACTCCCCAAAGATAGTGAGGCCTTCTATGGGGGAATCATCAAAGTCTTTCACATCATTTGGGGGAGGGCCTAGGCCCTCCTCCGTGTATCTGGGCTGAAATAGTATCCCTCCATAGGGAATGGGCTCCCAAAGTCCATTTGTGCACTAGGTATGAATACTGGTTCCACTATTAGAGGTCCTGTAGACTGCCCAGGTCTCCTAACTGGTACCCACATTCAGAGGGTTTGGTTTGGTCCAATGCAATTTCCTCAGCTTTACAACTGGGGTCCCTGTGCTCTCACTAGGTCAGGTCAACTGTTTTTTCGGGTTTCTTGAGCATGGTCTTGACTCCTTTGCTCATCCCTCCTCCCTCTCTACAACTGGATTCCAGGAATATGGCTCAGAACTTAGCTGTGGGTGTTTGCTTCTATTTCCATCAGCTACTGGATGAAGGCTCTAGGATGGCAATTAAGGTAGTCATCAATCTCATTATTGGGGAAGGGCATCAAAGGCGGCCTCTCCACTACTGCCTAGATTCCTAGTTGGGGTCATCTTTGTGGATCTCTGAACATTTCCCTAGTGCCAGATTTCTCTTTCAACCTATACTGGCTCCCTCTATTAAGGTATCTCTTTTCTTTCTCTCCTCTATTCTTCCATGTCTCAGTCTTCCTGATCCCTTGTGTTCTCCTTGCCCTTCTCTTCTCCCTTCTCTTTTTCTTACCTCCCTTCCCCCTCCCCCATGCTCCCAATTTGCTCAGGAGATTTGTCTCTTCCCCCTTCTTGGAGGATCATGTATTTCTCTCTTAGGGTCCTCCTTGTTTCCTAGTTTTTCTGATGGTGTGGGTTGTAGGCTGGTAGTCCTTTGCTCTATGTCTAATATTCATATATGAGTGAGTACATACCATGCTTGTCCTTTTGTGACTGGGTTACCTTGCTCAGGATGGTTTCTTCCAGTTCTATCTATTTGCCTTCGAATTTCAAGATTTCATTCCCCCCCTTGCTGAGTAACACTCCATTGTGTAAATGTACCATATTTTCTCCATCCATTCTTCAGTTTAGGGATATCTAGGTAGCTTCCAGGTTCTGGCTATTACAAACAACGCTGCTATGAACATAGTTGAACGTATGTCCTTGTTGTATGAATGTGCATCATTTGGGTATATGCCCAAGAGTGAAATTGCAGGATCTTGAGGTAGATTGATTCCCATTTTCCTGAGAACCGCCATACTGATTTCTAAAGTGGCTGCACAAATTTGCACTCCCACCAGCAATGGATGAGTGTTCCCCTTTCTCTGTATCCTCTCCAGTATAGACTATCATTGGTGTTTTTGATTGTAGCTATTCTGGCTGGTGTAAGATGGTATCTCAGAGTTGTTTTGATTTGCATTTCCTTGATGGCTAAGGATGCTAAGCATTTTCTTAAGTTTCTCTCAGCCATTTTAGATTCCTCTATTGAGAACTGTCTATTTAGTTCTGTACCCCACTTTTTAATTGGATTGTTTGGTGTTTTGGTGACTATCTTCTTGAGTTCTTTGTATATTTTGGATGTGGGGATGATGAAAATCATTTGCCATTCTGTAGGCTGCCATTTTGTCTTATTGACAGTGTCCTTTGCCTTACAGAAGCTTCTCAGTTTCAGGAGGTCCCATCTATTAATTGTTGATCTCAGTGTACGTGCTAATGGAGTTATGTTCATAAAGCGATCTCCTGTACCAATTTGTTCAAGGGTATCTCCCACTTTCTCTTTTCAGAGATTCAGTGTGGCTGGATTTATGTTGAGGTCTTTGATCCATTTGGACTTAAGTTTTGTGCATGGCGATAGATAAGGCTATATCTGCAATCTTCTACATGTTAGCATCCAGTTATGCCAGTACCATTTGTTGAAGATGCTTTCTTTTTCCATTGTATGATTTTGGCTTCTTTGTCAAAACTCAGATGTTCATAGGTGTGTGTGGATTAATATCAGGGTTTTCAACTCTATTCCCTTGGTCTACCTGTCTATTTTTGTGCCAATACCAAGCTGTTTTCAGGACTGTAGTTCTGTAATAGAGCTTGAAGTCAGGGATGGTGATGCCTCCAGAAGTTCCTTTATTGTACAGGGTTGTTTTGGGTATCCTGGGTTTTTTGTTTTTCCATATAAAGTTGAGTATTGTTCTTTCAAGGTCTGTGAAGAATTGTGCTGGTATTTTGATGGGGATTGCATTGAATCTGTAGATTGCTTTTGGCAAGATTGCCATTTTTACTTTGTTGATCCTACCTATCCAAGAGAATGGGAGATCTTTCCATTTTCTGGTATCTTCTTTTCTTTCTTTAAAGACTCAAAGTTCTGTCATTTGTTTGGGTAGCGTTACCCCAAGGTATTTTATGTTGTTTCTGGCTGTTGTAAAGGGTGATGTGTCTCTGATTTCTTTCTCAGCCCATTTATCATTTGCATTTAGGAGGGCTACTGATTTTTTTTTGAGTTAATCTTGTATTCTGCCACTTTGCTGATGGTGTTTATCAGCTGTAGGAGTTCCCTGGTAGAATTTTTCTGGTCACTTATTGAAACTATCATAGCATCTGCAAATAGTAAAATTTTGACTTCTTCCTTTCCAATTTGTATCCTCTTGATCTCTTTTTGTTGTCTTATTGCTCTAGCTAGCACTTCAAGTACAATACTGAGACATGGAGAGAGTGGCTAGCCTTGTCTTGTTCCTGATTTTAGAGGAATCACATTGAGTTTCTTTCCATTTAGTTTGAAGTTGGCTGTTGGCTTTCTGTATATTGTGTTTTTCAATGTGTCATTATTATTTGTTACCCTTAAAGACTTATTTTGTTTTCTGGACTCAGACTTAGAAGTAGAAGCTCTCAGCGAGGAAAGCCTACATCTCTTGTCGATCTGTTCCTGGCGCTTTTCTTTGGCTTCCTTCACTCTCTTAGCCAAAAGTTTACCATCCCTGCATCTCTGGGATGAAGCCTCCTCCTTGTTTTTCTTTGTTCCTTGTTTCTTCAGAGCAATACGCCATTTGTGTTGCAGGACATGAGGAGTAACAAGATGCTGAATCTTGGGCGCTTTGGTCCTGGGCTTCTTATCTTCTTTGTTTAAAGGCTTTCTCACAACATATTGGCGGACATCATCTTCTTTAGAGAGATTAAAAAGCTTTTGGGTTCTGCTAGCTCTTTTAGGTCCCAACCGACGAGGAACAGTAGTATCTGTCAGTCCAGGAATATCCTTCTCTCCTTTTTTTTTTTTTACAATAACTAAGTTGAGAACACTCAGATTGGCATCCACGATGCATCCTCTAACAGACTTGCGCTTCCTTTCTCCAGTTCTCCTTGGTCTATAGAAAGAATGCCCCTTACTCAACAGCAGGCACACTCTGCCATGGGTCAAAACACCTTGCTTCATGGGAAAACCTTGTTTGTCATTCCCACTACTGATTTGCACCACATAACCCTTCCACTCTTCACTCAGAGAAGCAATAGATACTTCTGTGGCCATGTGCTTCTCATAGAATGTACGAAGTTTGCGTTCATTGTCCACTTTGATGAGTTTCTGGCAGCCAGTGACTGGGAAGGATTTATTCAGCTTCATCTTCATACAGCCGACCGCCTAGGAAGTGCCACAAAAAAAGAGTCTGTATATTGTTTTTATTATGTTTAGTTATGTTCCTGTTATCCCCCAATCTCTCCAAGACCTTTATAATGAAGGGGTGTTGGATTTTGTCAAAGGCTTTTTCAGCATCTAGTGAGATGATCATGTGATTTTTCTTTTTCAGTTTGTTTATATGGAGGATTACATTGATGGATTTTCCTATGTTGAACCATCCCTGCATCTCTGGGATGAAGCCTACTTGATCATGGTGGATGATTTCTCTGATGTGTGCTTGGATTCGACTTGCCAGTATTTTATTGAGTACTTTTGCATCCATGTTCATTGGTCTGGAGTTCTCTATCTTAATTGTGTCTTTGTGTGGTTTGGGTACCAAGGTAATTGAAGCCTCATAAAAAGAGTTTGGCAATGATCCTTCTGCTTCTATTATGTGGAACAATTTGAGGAGTATTGGTATTAGCTCTTCTTTGAATTTCTGGTAAAATTCTGCACTGAAACCATCTGGCCCTGTGCTTTTTTTGGTTGGGCGATTTTGATGACTGCTTCTATTTCATTAGGAGTTATAAGTCTGTTTAAATTGCTTATCTGTTCTTGACTTACTTTTGGTAAGTGATAACTGTCTAGAAAATTGTCCCTTTCCTTTAAATTGTCGAATATTGTGGAGTACAGGTTGTCCATTGTTATGTCTCCCTTTTCATTTCTGATTTTGTTAATTTACATTTTCTCCCTCTACCTTTTGGTTAGTTTAGATAAAGTTTTGTCTATCTTGTTGATTTTTTCGAAGAACCAACTCTTCATTACATTGATTCTTTGTGTTGTTTTCTTTGTTTCTACTTTATTGATTTTCGCCCTCAATTTGACTATTTCCTGGTGTCTACTCCTCCTGGTGAGTTTGATTATTTTTTGGTTCTAGAGCTTTCAGTTGTGCTGTTAATTATCTAGTGTGACTATTCTCCAGTTTCTTCGTGTGGGTACTTAGTCCTGTGAACTTTCCTCTTAGCACTGCTTTCAAAGTGTCCCATAAGTTTGGGTATGTTGTGTCTTCATTCTCACTGAATTCTAGGTAGTCTTTAATTTCTTTCTTTATTTCTTCCGTGACCCAGGAATGGAGTAATTGCACATTGTTCAATTTCCAAGAGTTTGTAGGATTTCTGCAATTTGTGCTATTGAATTCTAATTTTAAAGCATGATGATCTGATAAGATACAGGGGGTTATTCCAATTGTTTGTATCTGTTGAGGTTTGCTATGTTTCGGAGTATGTGGTTGATTTTAGAGAAGGGTTCCATTTGGGGCTGAGAAGAAAGTATATTCTTTTATGTTTGGATGGAATGTTCTATAAATGTCTGTTAAACCCAATTGGGCCATAACTTCTATTAGTGTTTTTGTTTCTTTGTTAAGAGTCTGTTTGGTGGTCCTGCCCAGTAGTGAGAGTGGGGTGTTGATGTATCTCACTATAAGTGTGTGGGGTTTATTGTGATTTGAGTTTTAATAATGTTTCCTTTACAAATGAGGGTGCCTTTGTATTTGGGGCATAGATTTCAGAATCGAGACTTCATCTTGATGTACTTTTCCTGTGATGAATATGAAATGACCTTCTTTATCTCTTTTGATTGATTTTAGTTTGAAGTCTATCTTTTTAGATATTAGGCTTGTTTCTTGGGTCTATTTGATTGGAAAATCTTTTCCCAACCCTGTACTCTGAGGTAACGTCTGTCTTTGAAGTTGAGGTATGTTTCTTGTATGCATCAGAAGAATGGATTCTGTCTTCATATCCATTCTGTTAGCCTGTGTGTCTTTATAGGCAAGTTAAGACCATTGAAATTGAGGGATATTAATGACCATTGATTGTTAATTATTGTTTGTTTTGGATTTGGTGGTGGTGGTGGTATTGTGAGTGTATCCCCCCCCACACTTTTTTCTTTTGGTGTTTGGTAAGGTGGGATTACCTATTGCCAATGCTTTTGTGAGTGTAGTTAACTTCCTTGGGTTGGAGTTTTCCTTCCAGTAATTTCTGTAGGGCTGGATTTGTGGATATGTGTTGTTTAAATCTGGTTTTGTCATGGAATATCTTGTTTTCTCCATCTATAGTGATTGAAAGCTTTGCCTGGGTATAATAGTCTGGGCTGGTATCCACAGTCCCTTACCATTTATAGAACATCTATCCAGGACCTTCTGGCTTTCAGAGTTTCCATTGAGAAGTCAGATGTAATTCTGATCGCCTGCCTTTATATGTTACTTGGCCGTTTTCCTTCGCTGCTCTTAATATTTTTCTTTATTCTGTAAGTTTGGTGTTTTGATTATTATATGGCAAGGAATCTTTTTTATGGTCCAATCTATTTGGTGTTCTGTAAGCTTCTTGTACTTTCATGGGCATGTCCTTCTTTAGGTTGGGGAAGTTTTCTTCTATGAATATGTCTTCTTCTTCTTCTTCTTCTTCTTCTTCTTCTTCTTCTTCTTCTTCTTCTTCTTCTTCTTCTTCTTCTTCTTCTCTTCTTCTTCTTCTTCTTCTTCTTCTTCTTCTTCTTCTTCTTCTTCTTCTTCTTCTTCTTCTCCTCCTCCTCCTCCTCCTCCTCCTCCTCCTCCTCCTCCTTCCCCCCTCCTCCTCCTCTTCTTCTTCTTGGTTTTTTGAGAGAGGGTTTCTCTGTGGCTTCACCTGTGTGTTGAAGCCTGTACCCTTGAGCTGTATTTCTTCGCTTCCTTCTATACCTATTGTTCTTAGGTTCAGCTTTTTCACTGTGTCCCATGTTTTCTGGATATTTTGTGTTAGGGATTTGTTGGACTTAAGGTTTTCTTTTGTCAATGACTCTATTTTTGTTCTAGTGAGTCTTCAACACCTGAGATTCTTTCTCTCTTCCATCTCTTGTATTCTATTGGTTATACTTACATCTATAGTTCCTGATTGTTTACCCAGCATTTGTATTTACAGCATTCCCTTCTTCTGTGTTTTCTTTATTGTTTCTATTTCAGCTTTCAAGTCTTGAACTGTTTGAATTATTTCCTTCACCTGTTTGGTTGTTTTTTTTCCTTGGCTTTCTTTAAGAGATTTGTTTATTTCTTGAATATTTTGGTTTGTCTTTTCCTCCATTTCCTGTATTTTTTTGTTTGTTTTTTCTTCCATTCCTTTAAGGGATTTTCTCATTTCCTCTTTGAGGGTCTCTATCATCTTCATAAAGTTGTTTTAAGGTCATTCTCTTCTGCTTCATCTGTGTTGGAATGTTCGGGTGTTGCTGGTATAGAGTCCCTAGACTCTGGTGCATCCTATTGGTCTTTCTGTTGTTGAATGTGTTCTTATACTGTCATCATCCCATCCCTTCTTCAGTAGGTGCAGGTGGGGTTTCTCTCTCTCCTCTTGTCTCCTGGTGGGTATAGGTGGGCCAAGTCTTCAATGTCTGCAACTCTGAGTGTTCCAGCTTCTCCTGGTGTTCTCCTCATGCAGAGGGCATTGGGGACCAAGACTCAAGCTCAAGCTGAGGGCTTTTCATGGTGTCCCAGATTTCCTGCATGCTTGGTGTTAAGGATTTGTTGGATTTAAAATTTTCTTTGATGAGTTTTTTTTCCTCTATCATATATTCAATGCCTGAAATTCTCTCTTCCATCTCTTGTATTCTTGCTTATGCTTGCATTTGTAGTTCCTGATGGTTTACCCAGATTTTCCATTTCCAGAATTCCCTGTTTGTATTTTATTTATTACCTCTATTCCAGATTTCAAGTCTTGAATTGTTTTCTTCACTTGCTTGATTGCTTTTTCTTGGTTTTCTTTGAGGGACTTGTCAATTTCTTCTAAGTTTTCTTTGTCTTTCCCTCCATTTCTTTAAGGGAATTTTTATTTCTTCTTTAAGGGCCTCAATCATCCTCATAAAGTTATTTTTGGTCCTTTTCTTCTGCTTCATCTCCTTTGGGATGTTCAGGTCTTGCTGTTGTAGCACCACTAGTTTCTAGTGTCACTGTATTGCTCTTTATAATGTTAAGTATGTTCTTACCTTGCTGTCTATGTGCCTCTTTCTCTAATCGGTATAGGTGGAGCTTGTTCTTCAGGGGGTCTCTCTTTCTCCAATTGGTATAGGTGGGGGCTGTTTCTCCTTCAGGTGCAAGCAGAGCAGAGCCTCTGGTGAACACTCCTCCTGGTGGAAGTGGGCCCAAGGCTCAGGTGGTTGCTCCTTGAGGTACAGGTGGGACTACAGCTCTTTTGGATGCTCTGGAGGCAGGGTTAGGGCTCTGGTGTGTGCTTCTCTAGGTGTAGGTGGGGCTCATGTTCCAGTGGTCACTATAGCAGTAGGGTATCTACAACTGAGAAATGACAGTGGATGCTGGCTGGGACACAGGTGCTCTTTCCCAGAGGAACTTCTTGTGATATAGCTTCTGGAAGCCACTGCTGGAAACTACTGCTGTCGTCTTACCCTGGGGTCACCCTCCGTTCCTGCCTCTGATGATGCTGCTGCTTCCAGGCTGGTGGTTTGGGCCTCACACTGATGCTGCTCCAGGTCTGATGCTTGGGCCTCCCTCTCCCTCTTCCTTTCTTTTAATTAAAAATAATACATTTTAATTTGTTTTGTATGTGCATGTGTATGCCAATGTGTATTGCCATGCATGTGTATAAATGTTAGAGGGTCAACTTGCAAGAATTCTCTCCTTACAACACATAAGGAGAATTTAACACTCCTGAGAATCAAACTCAGGTCTTCAGGCTTGGCAACAGGCACCTTTACCTGATGTGCTATATCATTGACATCTTAATTAATTAATTAATTTAGTTTTTAATCTTTTTTGAGACAGGATCTCTATATCCCAGGCTATTGTGTAGTAGACAATAATCTTGAACTTCTATCCTGGATGCATAAGCTTTCATGCTGGGTTTGTGTAGTAGTAGGGTTGGAATTCAAGTCATGGTGCATGCTAGGCAAGCATTCTATCAGCTGAGCTACATCCAAGAAAGATTCTCTTTTTCAACAGTTCATGAGATTCGTCTGTTGTTTTTTTTATT